TCAGCAAAGCAGACAAACCGAACAAGCCCCACAAGACAGCACCGTAATCTCCGGGTGTCGGCAAGCGCACACGATTCAAGGCTTGTTCCCGACCAATGCCCCCTTCCACCAGCACCTCCTTACATCTCAGTCCCCAGGTGTGCCTTGTGAAGAGGGGCGGGGCGCCCTCCTCCCGAGTAGCCGTCTCCGTCTGCGTCGTTCTCGCCTTCTCTCTGCTCTCCGTGCTCTCGGATCGGGAGGGGGTGGTCCTTGCTCTTTGCCTGAGCGCTCTCTCTCTCCTCCTCCTCCTCCTCCTCCCTGTCTCTAATCCCGAAAAGCCCAGCCCGGACTGGCCCCGCCCTTCCCCATTTTCCTCCGCAGCCCCTCCCCCCCCCCTCAATCTCCGTCGGCTCTTCTCCCAGCTCATCTTCCCCCGCGGATTCAGGGCTCTGACGGGGGCACGACACGGGGGTTCAACGGTCATGTTTGGATACTCCTCTGCTAGGAGACCAGTGGGGTCCCTCGGCCGGTTGGTTTGCCGCGGGGCGAACGAGCAAGATGGGCTTGTGGGGTCCCATCCAGGAGGACAGCGGCTGACCGCCTCCTGTTCTCCTGTGCTTTCAGAGACGTTGGCAACGTGGTGGAAGCCATGTATGGTGACCTCTGCCCTCCCATTATGCTAATCGGGCACAGCATGGGAGGAGCCATTGCCGTCCACACAGCGGCATCCAACCTGGTGCCGAGCTTGTTGGGCCTCTGTATGATCGACGTTGTGGAAGGTAAGCCCCCCCTCCAAAATTTTCTCCTCCGCATCGGCCTTTCCTAACCTTGCGGTATCCGTGATACATGTCAGTTTGTTTACCGTGTTTCCCCCGAAAATAAGACCCTATGGTCAGGATTCCGGCACTGAACCCCAATTAAATCCTGAGTCTCGAGCCAAACTTCCAAAGGATTTATTGGGAGTTAACACATCTGGCTCTGCCTGGGTGTAGCCGACTCTGAGACGCATCATTCACCGTCACCTTTGACCCTGGTTTTCCCTCCCACCCCTCTGAGTGTATCGTAATTCATATCCTCCAATGGGACACCTCCCTAGCCCAGAGTCCTCCATCAGGCTCTCCAGTTAGAATTTCTCATGGCAGAAACTTCGGTTGCCTAGTTACAATCTTTGAAAACCTTTATGGAATGCAGTTTCAGTTTGCAAGCTGCCGCACTGCTCCCCCCTCCCTTTCCGTTGGCAACTCTACAAAGACCATGGAAATATTTTATGAGTTGACCCTTCTCTTATATCTTTTTGCGACCAAAAAAAGGCACCAGGTCTTATTTTCGGGGGGGGGTGTCCTCCACTGACTAACCTCACTTGTGCGCGTCACCCCCGGCTTCCTTTTCGCTGTCAGAGGCCTTCAGGAACTACTTCTGCCGCCCGCAAGGCTTTCCTGAAGGCCTGTGCAGCAAATAAGAGACCTCTGGATCGATCCAGAGCTTTGTTCTCAGCTCCAGAGGCCTTCAGGAAATCCTGGCCAGCCTTGAGGGCTGCAGAAGAAATGGGCCTGCCAGGCAGGTATGCGAGGCCTGGCTACAACTGTCCAAAGGTAAGTAGTAGGACAACTCCACCCCCCACTGCATCCCTACCCTAGCTTAATTTTTAACCCATCCACTCTGGAGTGGGCGGAGTCTTAATTAGGGCTTATTTTGGGGAAGTAGGCTTATCTTGGGTGCATGTCTAAAAAAATCAAGCTAGGGCTTAACTCTCGGGGTAGGTTGTATTTTCAGAGAAACAGGGTAACACCAGGTTTATCCCTCTGTCATTGGTACAGGGACGGCTATGGATGCCCTCAACAGCATGCAGAACTTCCTTCGGAGTCGCCCAAAGACGTTCAAATCTCTGGAAAACGCCATCGAATGGAGGTAACGTTAGAACCATGTTGGTCTGTTTGGGCATCCCATCCCAGTAAGCCTTGTGACGGCGAACCTCTGGCATGCGTGCCAAAGATGGCACGCACAGCCGTTTGTCCCGGCACGCGAGTCGCAGGCAGACTTACCTCACTGCACATGCGCAGGCCTCACAGCTGATTTTTGGCCTGTTTGAGGCCGTTTTCGGCCTTCCAGAGGCTTGAGGGAGGTCTCTGCAGTTTTTGCAGGACAAAAAAATAAGCCCATTTCGTCACTTCCGGTATTTCCGGAAATAAGTGATGAAATGGGCCCATTTTTTGGCCTGCGAAGCCTGCAGAGGCCTCCCTCAAGCCTCTGGGAGGCCGAAAAAGGCCTCAAAACAGGCTGAAAATCCGCTGTGAGGCGCAGTGCAGGAGTGTGAGCGTGCGCACCATTTTTTGGGCGCAGGAGCCCCCAAAGGTTAGCCACCACTGCAATAAGCCAACTTTGTTCTCCGTCTCTGGATCTAGCCGCTCATAGTGGCCGCAAACCATGAGCTGGAGACCAAAAATACAATTAAGAGTGAATTACAATTAACCAGTGGCACGGTTGTGAATGCTCCAGAAGTCGTGAGTGCTCCCCTCACTGAATTCAAGAAGAGACAGGACAGCCGTTTGTCCAACATGGTATTAGGGTCTCTTGCTTGAGCAAGGGGTTGGACTAGATGATCTCCAAGGTCCCTTCCTGTCCTGTGATTCGGTTAATTCTGTTCAAAAGACAGCAAGTGCCGCCTCGGCAAAGAAGCTGACGAAACAGCGGCCCGTCTGCTGTTAAGAGGATCGCACAGACTGACACCCAACGACGGCACGACAAAGTAGCAACAACGGGAAAATGAAATCGGCTCTTGTGAATTCCGTGTCGGTGATGACTTGTGTGTGTGTTTTTCTTTTTCTTGTTTGTGTTTCCCCACAGCGTGAAGAGTGGGCAGATCAGAAATCTGGAATCGGCGAGAGTGTCCATGATCGGCCAAGTCAAAGAGTACGTCGGCTTTTTAAAAACTTCCTTCCCTGCCTCCTTACGTGAAAATCCTTCCGCCTGGGCCCTTTTGCGAAACCCCTTCCTTGCAGAGCAGTGTGGTACCAATTTTTTTTTAAATGGGCAACTAATATGCTATTTACAGTCTGTTATATCCCACTTCTCTGCAGAAGTTTGCTTTCAAACAGTGACAACAGCCTCTTTGGATAGAAGGTGCAAAGGATTACCAACTGCACACAATTTATGCATTTGTAATATCTTACAAAATTTGGCTGTAATTACTTATTACATTGCAATCTTTTATCAGGAACCCAGAGCTAGATTTATTACACCCTTGTTATCCCAATTGAATCAGTGTAATCCAGAAGAAAAGTTCTGTGAACATCTAGAAACAAGCCAGCATGAGTTTGTTAAAAAAAAATTTCATGCCAAATCAATCTTATTTCATTTTTTGACAGTGACTAAATTAGTAGACCAGCAAAAAGCTGTGGAAATAAGAGATTTGACAAGGTAGACCACAAATTACTAGAAAAATGTGGAATAGACATCACCACCACCAGAAGGACTTGTAACACGTCTACAAGAAAACAAGAAAACTCAGAGAGCACCACAGTCGTCGTCCTCCTCCTCCCCCTTCTCTTTGTCCTGCTCTCTGCAAACCCTGCTCCCTTCTAACATGGATGATGTTGCCTAGCTGGGTCATGAAACGTCCGTAAGAAAACGACCCAGCTCAGAGAGCACCAAGGGTCCCACAGTTCAACGCTGAACTGCAAATATCCTCCTTTATTGTGATGGGATGTATAACGGACTCCAGAAACACGGAGAAGGGGCCATGGCTATTACCGAAAACATTCCTAACCGTGCTAGGTATACGTTGACACGGATAAATTGCTTTGACAGGCAATTCCAAGATCGCGTCCACATTCCTTTCGCTCGCAGTAAAGACTTTCCTGGTTTTTCTCAAGTTTGTCACTCTGGAAGGCCTTCATTTTAATCTCATTTTCCTTGCAAACTTTGCAATCAGGTGCGAAGAAGCCACGAGCCCCGGTGGCCCCAAAGCCATCGTGGAAGGGATTATAGAAGAGGAGGAAGAAGAGGAAGAGGAAGGCGAAAACGGGGAGTCTCTCAACAAGAAGAAGAAAGATGACGACGTGGAGGTGAGTGTTGCGGCCCGCCAGCGGTTAGCAGAGCTGGCGTCAGACTTGGACAGTGAGGAGGTTGGGGAGGAAACTGGGCCGGTCCTGGAGTCTGGGGAAGGCTCGGATGAGGGCTCTGCGTCGGAGGCAGAGATGGGGCCAGGGCCTTCCGACAGTTATCAGCTGCCTTCAGAGTTGGAAATCAGTGGGGAAGAAGAACAGCTGGAGCCTGTTCCCAGTGTGCGCATGCACAGAGCTGCCAGAAGAAGGGAACAGTTAAGGAATAAGGGTCGACTCCTGAGTAAAGGCTCAGGTGGATGGGGAATGGCCCCTCCCATAGGGAATAAAAGAGGAGTGAAAGGGGAGTGGGGTTCGCAGGAGACAATTAGTTCAATTCATTAGGGTGAAGATTTGTTCGTAACTCCTTGCCAAGTAATTGCTGCTACAGCGTGGCGTTTGGAAGTTACCGGCCTGGCAACTCTCCTAGCCTGATAAGGCCTGTGGTTGTAATTGAAAGACTGTTTGCCTGACTTTGCTGGATGTGAATGAGAGGAATTCACATTATAGCTTAAATAAAAGGGGTTTTGTCGGGACGAGGAGTCGGCTTCGTGATTTTGGGAAGCCTCGGTCAGAACAGTGAGAAACTTTTTCCCGGCCCTATTTTTTTTTTTTTTTCGCCCTTTCTGGTCCTTTGCATCTGAAGCCTGCGCAAAAAAAATTTTGGCGCTGAGATGCTCCGGTGTCGCCCTAATGAAATCACGATCCTCGAGCCAAACTTCAAAAAACTGCCAAGGATTCATTTGAGTCAACGTCCTGGCCCTGCCCTGTATGAAGCCCACTCTGGCCTAGATCATTTCCAGTCCCCTGTGTGCCCCCGTTCCCCCCCCCCCCGCTTCCAGGCGTGTCATAAATCAGATTCCCCAATTAAGCACATTCAGGGGCTGGATGTCATCAATCACGTTCTCCAATTACGTTCTCCCATTAAATCTATTCCCAGGTCAAAAGCTCCGGTAGTTTAGTTACAGTCTTTTAAAGAGAAAGAGTCGGAACGCACTTCCGCTTTCCCCTCCCGTTGTAGGGCAACTCCTACAAGAGGCAAAGGCATGTTGTACGGGTGGACACCCCGATTGTCGGCCTCTCGCTTGGTTGAATATTTTCCTTCTTCCTCCTTCCCCCTCCCCCGCTCTCTCCGCAGACCAAGAAAGAAGCCGCCTACACCTGGCGGATTGAACTGGCCAAAACGGAGAGATACTGGGATGGCTGGTTCAGGGGTCTCTCCAACCTCTTCCTCAATTGCCCTGTCCCCAAACTGCTGCTTTTAGCAGGTAAGTGGGGCTGCCTTTCCCCCTCCCCATTTCTTCCCTTCCTCCTTCCAGGAATTCATCCGCTCCCTTTGCGAGCTGGGCTGGAAGAGGCGCAAAGCCGCTATCCGACTTCCCTCCCTGAGGCTCATTGATTGAGGTATTTATTCGTCTCCCGCTTTCATCCCTTTGACCAACAGTGCCAAGAGGCGAACGTCTCCGGCGTACCTTCCCATCTGCTATTTTCCCCACAACAACGACAACCCTGGGAGGTGGGTTGGGCTGAGAGAGAAGGGCCGGCCCCAAAAGTCGCCCGGCCAGCTTTCGTACCTAAGGAGGCCCTAAGAAGTCACGCTCTCCCACTCTCTAGCCTGGCACTTTAACCACTAGGCCAAGCCGGTTCTCACAAATGTTTCGAGGGATTTTGCAGAGGGGTTTATATTTGAGTATGCACAGGTAGTTCCCAAGTTGCAACCATTTGGGAAAAGAAAGGGAGGGAAGGAAGGAAGGGAGGGAGGGAGGGATTGACGGATATTGAGTGGAGAAAGATGGATGATAAGAATGGATAGGTAGAGAGACAAATAGGAGAAAAAGAGATAGGAATAGGTAGGTAGGTAGGTAGGTAGAGATAGATAGATAGATAGATAGATAGATAGATAGATAGATAGATAGATAGGAGAAAAAGAAGAAAGATAGATAGAAAAAGATAGGAGATAGAGATAGGAATAGATAGAAAAAGGTGATGGGGTAGGTAAGTAGATGGATAGATAGATAGATAGACAGACAGACAGATGGGAGATAGAAGATGATAGATGAGAAAAAGAAGAGATAGGGATGGATAGATAGATAGATAGATAGATAGATAGATAACAGGAGAAAAAGAAGAGACCTAAAAAAAGATAGGAGATAGAGATAGGAATAGATAGGAAAAGGTGATAGAGGGAGGTAGATAGATAGATAGATAGATAGATAGATAGATAGATAGATAGATAGATAGATAGATAGAGATAGGAGATAGAAGATAGAAGATGATACATAAGAAGAGGAAAAGAAGAGATAGGGATGGATAGATAGATGATAGATAGAGAGATAGATGATGATAGGAGGAAAAGAAGAGATAGGGATAGATAGATAGATGGATAGATAGATAGATAGAGATAAGAGTAGGTAGATGATAGATAAGAAAGATAGGAATAAATAGAGATAGTAAAAAAAAGAGATAGTAGGTGGGGGAGAGAGAGAGAGAGACTGTTAGGTACATAACTCAGAAATGCAAAGAATAAATTCGAAAGTTGGCAAGAGCATTGGATTAACATCTAGGGGCCTCTCCTCTTTTCTCCCCCCCCCCCCCC